ATGCAGATTTGGTTGCAGTTGTAACAGCTGGGAAGGAATAAGTGGCCTGGAGACAGATGATGCAAAGAGTATCTGAGGCATGCTTAAAAGATGTGTGATACAAATCCATTAGTGCCCTCCCATTACAATTGGTCTCTAAAATACAATATGGCTCCTCCATTTTTGTGAGAATAAGATTCTCTCACTTATTCCCCAAGAGGTGCAGGGGAGGTGGTACACATTCAGTCAGAGTCCCCTTTAGGTTGGTGGTCAGCCACAATCTCTGAAAAGGCTTAAGGAAAGAGAGTTAGTGAAAAACCTACAGTCTCTTCTGTGGCAGCTGGTCTCACACGGAAATGTATCATCTCCCTTCTCTATCACCATGCCAGAATTTTCTCAACTTTGACCAGCAATTTGGCTGCTCTGGGTTTCTCTCCCAGCATGATGACCTAGATCTTCATCCATAAGAAGCCTAAGCCTTTTACTATCTTCCTCAGGCCATGACTGTTGCAACTGCTCATTCACCATTATTCTTGGGCACAAAAGCACCAAGTGATACCCAGTGAATCTTCTGGGTTCTATACATTCTCCTCTCTGCCCACATTGTGTAGCAACATCCCTAGCTCTCCTCATGGTAATCAGGGTCCATTACAATCCCTCTACCCCAGTGCAGTAAGTCCTTTCTTTGCCTACTGGTCCACTGACAAGAACCCAAATTGACCGTATTAGTCCCAGCTGCCAGTTCAATGGAGTGCTTACTATCTTAATCTCAGGGAGAAGCAGCTCTCCATCCTCCCCTATCTTGAAGCAAGACCTCTAACCCCATCAGAACCTAATGTTAGAGATGGAAAGCATAAATTCTGCAAAAGAGTCACAGGGAGTCTTGGTAAGAGGGACCATTCCTGCTTCTTCATCTCTCTCAATTCATGTATTCCAGTTTTGGGGGACACAGCACCATATATTGGCCATTGGTTCAGCACTGCAACCCCCTAGGGAGTTTCTTCTCAGCTGTCACCTTTCCTGAGTATTTATTAGGCCATTCTGCCATTCCATTAGGCTGGCTATTTTAGGATTGTGGGTTATATAGGATCCATTGGACCCATTGCTTCATGTCTTTTGTGGTAAAAAGGTATCCCTTGGTCTGAGGCTGTGTTGTGTGAGTAGTACGTCAATAGATCAAGAAAGGTGTTGCTGGATACACTGGAAAAGCAAACCCATATCTGGAGTAGAAATCAATTTCTAAGGATAAATTGCTGTCCCTGCTAGGATGAAAGGGATGTAATTGATACGGTGCCATATTGAGAATTTAGCATCAGTCTTTGCTGCTGGCAAGTTGAGCACTCAGCAGTGACAATCCTAGCTGGATTGCCTTGGTGAGGAGGGACCCATGCTTCTGGATCCATGAATAGCCTCCATCCCTGCTATCATGGCTATTTGTTCATGGCCCACTGAGTCAGTACCAGAACAGCTGAGAAGCCTGAATGATATCCATATTATGAATCTCACAGTCCATCTGTTGGACAGTGGAGTTTAAGTTGTGTAAATAAGGAAGAGAAGACATGAAAGGGTGAGAGGGAGTGAAAAGGAGGTAGGATCAATGGCTGGAAGTCCTGGTGGGATCAAAGGATTGGTAGTTGAGAGTACTAGAGAGAGTGAGCTAGAAAGATGAGAGGTGATATGGAAAAGGATGCATGAAATTGAAATTAGGGAGAGGATGCAAGGGTAAGGTATCAAGGTCTAAGGTGTGACTATTTATGGTCATAGTGAGTGGCTGAGGGAGTTTGGGGCCGCCTGTCCCCCAAGTCTAACACCCTCAAGATACAATCCCACATGTTTTCTCACTTTGGGCTGATACATGCTCATCAGGTGCTGCAATTCCTTTGCCATGTAAGCTACTTTCTCCCAGGGCAAGCATAGTTCTCCACTGGGGCTATGCTGAGAACTGACACAGGTTGTCAGTCTAGAAGTCATGAGGAGTGGCAAGGGCAGATCCTTCAAAAAAGAAATCTCATCTTGTGAGGCACCTGTTTCAGATGAGTTCACTGCATGGTCTCCAAGCAAGGAAGGCTTTCTTTCTCAGGCACAGGTGCGGGGCCTTCTGCCAGCCCAGAAGGTTCAGGGCAATTTGGGTGTTCAAGATCCTCAGGCTTGCCCTCACAAACATCCCCTATCCAGGTCTCAGAGCCGGACTTCACCGGTCAGGGCCCTGACTTTGACCTAGAAGACATATTGAGGCTATACATTCAGTCTCCTTTGCAGCTTTTCCATCATTACAATCAGATCCTGGGTCTAATTTTCAGATCAGCCTGAACTGCAGCTCAGATGATGAGAGTTTCCTTAAAAGCTGCCATAGAAGCCCCCTGGCTTGCCCAGTGTGCCTTAAGCTGGCAGTTAGCTGCCCCGGCCTACTCTCTGTTTTCTCAAGGCTCCTAATGCCATTAACAGAAGCCTGCCCACCCCATAATCTCTATAATTATCATTGTCACCAGACTGCCACACTGTTCACTGCAACAGCTGACACATTTCTCCCTTTTGTCTCCCACCTCTGCCTCATGTCAATTACCTGTAGATAAAATCCTTGGTAAAGTGATGTCACTGAATGCTACTTCAAGCCAGGGTTATCATCACCCCACTTACCACCAGCAATGTGGGTGGTGTCACAGCAATGTGACACACCAGTGTGTCGGATAAGTGAGTCATTCAACTCCAATACCATTTTGTGAGTTTCATTTACAAGGCTACTCCCAACTCCTAGTGCTACTCCCAACTGTCTTAGCCCGAGCTCCCAGGGAGCAGAGATTATGTGCTACCACTTTATTAGGGATTACAATAGTGGGGGTAGGGGACAGTGGAGGGAGAAAAGAGGAATGTTGAGGAGAAGCACCAACACAAGTGTGCATGGCTAGGCAGGAAACCTCTTGGTATCAAACACAACTGGTTATTCAGACTATCTTCCAAAAGCCATAAGAATTACTGCTTCAAAGAAAACCCTGTGGGGAGAAAAGGGAGGAGAAAAGAATTTATCCACTAGATTCTGTCTCCTACCAATCAAGAGATTTCCCAAAAAGGCATGAACTCCCCTGCATTTCTGCGTCAGGCTGTGTCCTAGACCTCAGCAGCAGCAGTGGAGTCCAGGGATGGAAAACAAAAGGTGTATCCTGCAGGCATGAGGCAAAATGCTATCAGGTGGTGCTCAACGAAGACAGTCCAAGGCCATGCAGAATGGTCTCCACAGAATAGCTGGAGAAGAACAAGTGGACAAAAGTCCATGGACTTACATGAGCCAAGAGGATCTGTGGTGATACACAAGAGTTGTCTGCCACAGCAACATTTTGTGATCACTTTCCGTGTTATTTAATGATTGCCTAGAATGGTTATATGGAAGAATTATAATTTACTTACTATAGGATGCAGAATAATGCATCCCACCCACCAAAGATGCCTAGAGATGCCTAGAGTCTGTGAATATGTTAGTTTACATGGCAAAGAGGAATTGAGGTTGTGGATAGAATTAAGGTTGCTAATCAGCTCACCTTCAAATAGGGAGATTATCTGGGTGGGCCAATGTAATCACAGGGGTCATTAAACGTGGAAGCAGCAGGCAAAAGAAGACTCAGTGTCAGAGTGATACAGTGTGAAAAAGATTCCACTGGCCATTGCTGGCCTTGAAACTGGAAGGGGGCCACAAGCTAAAGAATGCAAGCCTCTGCCTCTAGAAACAGGCAAGGGAATGGATGCTCCCCTAGAGGCTCCAGAAAAGAATGCAACCCTGCAGACACCTTGGTTTCAGCCCAGTCAGACCCACATCAAGCTTCTGACCTACAGAACTGTAAAATAATAAATTTGTATTGTTTTATGCCACTAAGTTTGTGGTAATTTGTTATAGCAGCAATAGGAAACTAAAACGCTTACCTAATTCTTTATTTTGGCGCATTTAGATTATTTTCCACTTTTTCTCATTATGAACAATAATACAATGGAACTCTTTATAGCTAAATTTCTAGGCATCTCCACTATTTTTTTAAAATTCATAGACATGATTTGTTAGGTCAAAGATCATGAAAAATTTAATAACCGTTTATATGTATTGCCTTCCAGAAAGTAGCATTCTGAAATACCATCAATACACAAGAATTTCCAACAACAGAGAGTATTATTTTTGTTTTTTAATTTTTGGCAATTTGACGGGCAAAAATAATACTTAACTGTTTTAAATTGCATTTTTATTATTGATAACTTGTGCTATGTGCTTATGCATTCCTCCATAGACTAGGAATACAGCAGCCATTTTAATTTCTTCTTTTGTAAATTGCTTTTTCAAATTCTCTGATAATTTTTCTTTTCAAGTATTCATCTTTTCCTATTGCTCTGTGAAAACATCCATTTGTGTCACATATATTGAAACTGTTTGCAATTTGACTTTATGTTTAATATTTTAAGGTACAGAAGCTTTAACTTTTCATAATTGAATCTACCAATCTTTTTCTTTATGATTTCTGCCTTTAACATCATATTTCAAAATACGTTTCTCACTTCCAAAACGTATACATATTCATCTGTATCTTCACTCAGTGCTTTTATAATTGAATGGTGTGAATTAAGAATCTAACTTCAGTTTTTCCTCAATGATTTCCCAGCAGTCTCAACAATGAATGCACCAAATATCTATCTTTTCCCCACTAGAATAGGCTTAAGGATGAAATTCAAAACAATTTCCAATATAGACTTGAATTCCTAGCTTTTTAAATAATTTGCATTTGAAAATTAAAAAGTTGTCAAAAGAAGAGCAATTTTCTATTTAATGTTCTTCATTTATCACAGTCTCCACGGCTTCACATTTACCCTAGAAGGTAGGAGAGGTCTAACCCCAAAGGAAACGACCTCCCCTGCGAAAAAAATAAGTAACCACACCATCGCTGAAATAAGGTTACGTTTTTCAGTAATAAAACACCAAAACCTTTAACAGCACAGCAGAGAAAGAAAAAACCCACATCCTTTGGGGTCATTATATATTACTACCGTTAATACCTGAAATTGAACGGCCTCCATATGTGGGGAACAGAAGCCATGAAAATTCCTGTTCCTTTCTCTTTCTCTATTGCCATATGTCTCCTAATTCCTGGAGGTAAGACGTATTTCCATATGCTTTTCAGTTTTGCTCATGAGAAAATGGAATTCTATGTTGGTTTAATTTATGTTTAACATTATGTAAAAAGGAAAAAGAAATCATAACTTAATTTCCAATAATTTTTAATGTTACCATTTGTCTTTGCTCTCTAAAAGGCATGTTGGCTCTTTAAGATGAAAATGTACCCTATGTGTCTACAGCAAAAATATGAAAGCATTCACTATATCTGGTGGTTCTCATAAATTCAGGCCAGATCTACAGAGCAAAACCTTTAAGGAAAAAACTGACAAAGCCATTAAATCGGGGATGTATAGACTATATATTAACTAGACCTCCCAGTCATACATATACAACTGAATAGTCATAGCTCTCAGAAAGATCTTAAAACTTTTGATTTCAGATGTGTTTGTGAGTGTCTGTTTCTAGTGTGGGGGTGGTGAAGAAAACAATAACATCAGTGTAAAATAATCCAAAGAAACATATATATATATATATATATATATATATATATATATGCCAACATTTAATAAAACTGACAATTAAGCATAGCAGTATTCTAAGTGTTTTACACATATTAACTCATTTAATCTTCTTAAAGATCATCGTCATCAGCCCCATTTTACATATGAGGAAACTTAGGCAGAGAGAAGTTAAGTAAATTTACTAAAGTCATCAGTTAGTAAGTTGTAGGGCTGGGATTTGAACCCAGAGTTCATGTTCTTAACCACACACTATGACTATCTTGTAGCTCAATGATACCTTCAGAGCTGGGATTCTTAACAATTCTTAATGAGTTCCTACAAGGCCATTGATGGGCATCAAGAAATCTGTGAATCTCCCAAAACTGTATGCAAATATTTACATGCATATGTATGTCTATACTTTACCAGATTCTCAAATGGCTCTATATTTCAAAACTTAAAAATAAAAAAGTTGAAGAGCCACTACTTTAGGAAAACAGTGCTTCACAATGGAAAGAATATGGTTTTCACATGATGTGGAACTGGGTCAGAATACTGCTTTGCCATTGTAGTTGTGTGAACTTGGGAGACTCAATTACTCTGTCTAAACTTCACGTTCCTTATCTCCACACAGGAATAATAACACCCACCCTGCATTATAGTAAACCTCAGGGTCAGTGTCTGGAATTAACCAGTGCCTAGCAAATTATAGATGCTTTCATTATTATTGTGACTATAATTGTTGATTTTTTCCTTGATTTTAATGTAACTTACTGAAGTATCATTCCAAATAATAATCACACCATGGAATATTTGAGATTTTTAAGGCCAATAACGCAGTGTCCAACCTGAGACTAAGACAATTCCAGGCTGTAGCAGGAAGTGAGTAGACTAGGAATCACAGAGCCAGGAGATTGGGATTTCTCCCCACTCTGCTCTGACCGTGTGATGTTGGGTAAGTCGTTAATCTTTTTATTTTCTGACCTTTAAGAAAAGAGATTCTATTGCCTGACACTTCCTACCTCCCAGGGATAGGAAGGAGATAGACATTCTGTTAAAGGTACCTCAAATTCTTGAGGAAGAGAAGTAAGTATTGCTTAAATTCAAGATACTATTACCCAGAGATATCATGGAAAATTATAGAAACTAGATAAAACTTAATGTAAACAATTAAAGAATAATAGCAAGTCAAGTCGGGGCTTTAAAAAAATCACTTTGCTAAGAGTTATCATTTTAAGGACTGTCTCCAGTGTCAAGTCTGGACTCCAAAGGCATTTAAACATGATGAATCATTAGGCTCATTTAACATTTCTCTGTGGGCAACCTGCTTCATTCTCATAATCCCCGAACACACTGCCTTTTACTTATGTCATACCTGAACCTGAAATCTCCTCCAGCCCCTGCCCACTGAAATCTTGTATTTTTTCAGTCTCCTTCAGAAATATGTAAATAAACAACCTACTTTCTTCTTGAAGACTTCCCAACCTCCTCGCCAATAGCATTTTCTCATGTCTCTGAATTCCTTCAGTTCCTCATTTATACTCTCTCAAGGCACTTAGCGCACTGCCTAGCATTGTGATCATTTATGTATCTGTCCACAGCTTTGTTCTTTGTATCTTTCTACTATCAAGCTCTTTGAGGGTAAGAACTGTGTTCTATTCATCTTTGCATCCGTCTTACCAGTAGTCACTCAAAAATAGTTGTGGCATAATTACACAGAAAAAAATGAGTGAATGTGTAAATTGCTCAGGAAAAAGGTCCTGCCACGATTTCAGCCTGGAATGAGAAGTACGAGCAAAAGTGCGGTTCACAAATTTGCTATTTGTCTTTCCCTATTGGGGACATTAATCAATATCTGTTGTTTAGCTACAACATATATTTTATAGTCCCACCTCTTTCTTTTGGCTTATCTGCCTTGCCTTGTTTTCCGTATAAATAATAACAAATAAAGGAAAAAGACAAAAGTGAGTAAAAGTCATTAAAAAGCTACAGCCTTAGTACATGTAAGGTGTATCATTCTATGCAGTGCAGAGCCAGAGTCAGTGAGCTGGTCTAACATGGGGCTCACAAAACAAAGGTAATGGATTTCATTTCTTATAGACCACTTACGCTCTCATGGGGAAAATTATGAGTTCTCCAGCCACACTGAGAACCTCCTTTGCCTAGGAATCACCTCCCAAATGTATTTCATTGGTCAAAATACAGAAAGATGACAAGGCAGAGAGTGTTACGACTCCATAGCCTCAACCAGCAGGACAGTGGATCTCAGACTGTGGAAACTTACTATACACATCTCAACAGAAAAAAGGAGAAGTCCAGAGACTCCCCATGAGCATTCTGTTCCCAGTCAGAATACCTGGCATGTGGCCGACTGCCCCAAAGGGTGCTTTTCCTTTTTCAGGTGTTAAGATGCAACAGTGGCTTTGTTTACACAAGTACATGTTTTCTTAATAAGGAATTTTTCATCTATGACACTCCAAACCGGCTCTCAATTCTCTGGCCTCTGAATCAGAGAACAGTCCTCATGCAAACTGAGGAGCAGAAAGGTTGACTTTGGGGGCCACAGCCCAGTCATGGGTGTCCTGCCCAGAAAGCTGCAGCCTCAGCCCACCCACTCTAGCCCTCTAGCCTTTGATCACACTGTACTCCTGGCTGTCTATTCACACCTCTTATCAAATGACTATCTTGCAAAATGCCCTCTGCTATTAATGCCTGCACAAAGGAGCAAAAATAGGATAAATCGCTGCTTTCCAAGACTTGGTCACAGCCTTATAAATCCCAGAACCGCTCTGAGGAGCAGCTGCATCAGAATCACCTGGAGTGCTTATTTAAAGTGCAGGTTCCCAGGTTTCCCCTCCAGGATCCTGACCAGAGTCCCCAGGACTGGGCCTTGGGAATCTGCATTTTAAGTAAGCACTCTGAGTGATTATTACGACACTAAAGTGAGAGAATCATTGCTCACAGAGAGAAGCATTTCCATATCTTTATCATTTTTGTCCTAACAATTTCAAAAAAAAGGGAGAGAAATCAATTTAGACACGTGGCAGAAAAAAACAACTCAAAAAGCATAACGTAGTAGGAATATTTACTCATAATAAAACTTACCCCAAAACTGAGTACTAAACTCATCATGAGAAAACACTACCAAGTGTGTGAGTGTTGCAGAGAACATAATTACAGACAAGAATGTTGCAGAAAAAATGCACCACGCCCTGCACCATCTGGCCTGCTCTGATGACTATCCTGACACCAAGGGCATGTCTACGTACTCGTGCTGAATCTATTCGTTATAACAGAACTTTCTCAGAGCGAAGCATGACTAGATAAGATAGAATTTCACTCGGGATCACTCTTTTAGTTTTTCCAGAATCCTGTGAGGGAATTATAGGAGGAAATGAAGTGCAACCTCACACAAGACCCTACATGGCTCTAATCAAAGGACTGAAAATCTGTGCAGGAGCTTTGATCAAAGAAAACTGGGTGTTGACAGCTGCTCACTGTGACATGTAAGTAATTCTGAGCTCCTGTCATTCTCAAGGCAGACTGGGGAGGCGGGATGATGCTGAAGTCCAAAACCGAAATTAGGTAGAGATGGAGAAGAAAGTGGGCAAGCACGTTCAATGTTATGTTCTAATACCATATTTATCTCTATAAGCAAAAGCTAGATCCTATAGAATAAGATTGAAATGCATGACGATTTTCTCGTATTATTTTAAAATATTTTTTCACTATAAATAGCAACATTATTAGCATTTTCAAAAACAGGAAAGGTGAAAAATAGCCCTCATAATTTTATCAACCCCATACAATCACTGTTAATATTTTGCTATATTTTGTTGCAGACTTTTATCATAAGCATATTTCACACAGTCAGGCAAATTAAGTGTCCTCTATGATGACAAGTGATTTACTTACTATTATACAATTAGTGTTATCCTATGTTGCTACATATCATATTGAACCATAGGAAATTACTCATATTTGACTGTTTGACTTTAAAAAAATAGCCATTTCCTATGGTTCTAACTAATGTTTTTCCTAATCGTGATTTGAAAGCCAGAATAATGTTTATCACATGGATATGCTACTATTTTCTTCATCAGTACCTATTGTTGGTAACCCGTACCTGTTATTTCCCTTGTCACTTTAGCATAAATTGCATGAATAAAAGAAGAGACTTAGGGCTGGCCCCGTGGCATAGTGGTTAAGTTCGCGCACTCCACTTCAGCTGCCCAGAGTTCACAGGTTCAGATCCCAGGCATGGACCTGTGTGCTGCTTATCAGGGCATGCTGTGGCAGGCGTCCCACATATAAAGTGAGAAAGATGGGCACGGATGTTAGCCCAGGGCCAATCTTCCTCAGCAAAAAGAGGAGGATTGGCAACAGATGTTAGCTCAGGGCTATATCTTCCTCACCAAAAAAAAAAAGAAGATACTTAAAAACCAACTTCTCACAAAGAAGATCCAAACGGATTCACACCATATTTTTGTGTAAAATGAGAATTCACTGAGTAGGAACTTTAGCACAATGTACGCTGTGAATAAAGTTAGCCATTGGCATGGTTAACTAATAGGCCCACTTGGTACAAAGTCGGCCCAGCAAATCAAGAAATGCTTGTGCCCACCTCTCCCAGGTCAGCTATCATTAGGTTCATAAACTAGACTTGGGGCTAGCCCTACTGTGTGTATTTGCTTCTGTTCGTGTATATGTGCATGCATGTGTTTGCTTAGACTCAGCTTTAAAATTTCACTACAAAATCAAGATTCATTTATTCAGTCCTACCTAGTACAAGCTTGACTTTTGTCAACCTTTGTCATCTTTGAAGACTTAAGCAAGGTACATTATTTCCCTGAAGCACAGAAAAGCAAACCTGCTACTTCTGCTCTAGTACTTGGGTTTAGCCTCTTCCATTAGGTGTTGATTCCACAAATCCCAAGAGGTGGAAAAACTAGCAGCTCCTTTTTAGGCAGCACTCAAGCATCCCTCTCCAGGCCTTCACAGCTCAATGCTCTTGCCTCTACCAAAACACCTGGGATTTTCTTTCTGATACGTCTTCCTTGAAAAGATGTGATGAAGTTGAAGCAATCCGTCATAACACACATCTTGGGAGGTTTATGTAAAAGTCACTAAAATACCAAAAGAAAAAAGCCCCATAAATTCCCTCTGTCTTGGAGTACATGTTTATAAATAGGAAGCCATTTGAAAGAACTGAACAGATTTGAATAAATTAAGTTTATGGCTTAATTTCATTCATTCTCTCACATAGATTATATGTTGTCCTTATTTTTTCCAGGAAGGGCAAACCTCAAGTTATTCTTGGAGCCCACTCCACATCCCACAAAGAGAAACATGAGCAAATGTTTGCCATTAAAAAGGCGATTTCCTATCCATGCTATGATCCAGAGTCATTTGAAGGTGATCTTCAACTCCTTCAGGTAAAGATGGTTTTTTTTAATAACTATTCTGAAACAGCAAAATTTTGAAATGTGGTCAGTTTAACCTGAAACTGGTTTTTACACACTCAGCCTCATAGCCAAGGTTGGCTAATGTCAGTACGTGGGGATAAGAATCACAGCAGGACCCAGCACAATTGCCACAGATGCGCCTCTTTTGGAATTCAGTTCAATTCAACAGATAATTGACAAAAGTCCTACTGGGGTGGGACCTGGCAATCCAAAGTGGTGATGCCACCAGGAACTCACCTACAGTCAAACCAAGTTGGGTTTATTGAAGTTTGCTCAGCAAGGGAGACTGTGAGCAGTGAGGAACCACAAGATGGCTCAGTGAGAGGGTGTTACACGGGGCTTATCATAGGATTCGGGCTTCTGTCAGGTGATTTGGGAGAGGGTTCAAGGAAGCAGGAGTTTGCTCTGAACGGGATGTTGTCAGGAAGTGGGGTAATTCTATGATTGGGCAGCTCAATGAATCTTACTTATCTAGAGGCTGAAAGAATGGAGAGAGGCTAAAGCTGTGATTGATAAAGAAGCTGTGACTCATTTTAACTGATAGAGGGTGGTTGGTCATTTTTGTAGTGTGCACAATGACCTTGTTTTGGCCTGGACTCAAACATGACTACAGAGAGGCCTTGGTTTGCTCACTTCATTAGGGTCACCTTGTCTGATATTGGTGATCTATGCTAGTGTTTATGATCAACAGGAAAAATCATGGCCCAGCTGTGAGTGCTTAGCTGTCAGTGTCAGTCTGCTTTTCTCTTCCTCGGTAGATAAACAGTAATTGGGTCCTGCTCTACAGGTGCTCAGTCTAGTGGGAGAGACAAATAAATCAACAGCTCTGATCTGACCGTATTTTACTCATCAGTGACAGAGATAACAAAGAAGGCCTCGGGGAAGCTTTCCTAGAGAAGATACAGGAATCAGCATGAAAAAGGGAGGGAAGGGCCTTCCAAGCAGGAAGAACAGCATGTATAAGAGGTCTTTCTGGAAAATGCATTTGGAGGAAGAGGGGGGTGAAAAGGAAGTTATCATGAGATTTGAGAAAGAAGGGACACAGGACAGAGGACCATGGAGACAGCCATTGCAAACCACAGTAAGAAGTTTGAACTTCATGGGGAAGGAAATGGGAAAGTGTTTTAAGCAGGGCGGTGACGTGATCAGACTTGATTTTAGAATGATTATCTGGCTTCTACGCATAAAATGGAAGAGAGAAGGCAGGACTGGAAGGCAGATGTGAACAGAAGGTTCACACTAGTCCAAAGGGGGCTGATGAGGAACTTCCCCAGCAGGAATTAAGAGAAAGCTCAGGGGATCCACGCACCCCAATATCAGGAGAAAAGAGAGGGCCCTTGAGTTCTGCATGCTTCTGGCAAACTCCTCACACTCCCTACCCTGCCTCCCAATATTTATATCATGACCCCCACACCATCTGCCTTAGGACTATCAGGCTGGACCTCTCTCTCAGGTCACCCCTGCTGCATACTCTAATTCCCATCTGGCGGCATGTGCAGTGAAAGGCGACTCCCTCCCCTGCCCCCAGAGGGCGCTCCCTGGCCTACTTCCCGCCTGTGTTTTTCTCTATAGCACGCACCTCTGATATCCTTTAGATTGTGTTTGTTTGTCTGTCTGCCTCCCTCACTGGAATGTGAGCTCCACAGAATAGGTATTTTTGGTTTTTTACTTCTATGTCCTCCAACACCTAGAATAGTACCTGGTACATAGTAAGCTCTCAATAAATATTTCCTGAATAATTTTGGATAAGGGATAGAATTAAGCCAGACAGTGGCAAAGGTAATCAACAAGGGAAGAGATTCTGCACTCAGGTTTCAAGCAAGTGGTAGAAGTGGTCAGGTCTCCTTCAGGACCTAAAATCTTACCTTTACAAGGGGGTGGGGTGAGTAGGGGATTTGAGGGGTTCATGTTCTTGAAGTAGAGGCAGGAAACTCCCTCTCATTTTGACACTGTGGCCAAGAGAGTGATGTTGCTAGAGAAAACATCAAGAAGGTGTCAGGACTTCACCAAGGTTAACCTTCCGGAGTTACAACCTAATGATGTGCTTATGGCTGCTCTATGTGCTTGTCGTCAAGAGAGCTTGAGGGGACTGCTCCTTACAAACATATGCTTCCCAGACTCCAATTTAGATCCATTCAGTAAGACCTGAAGTCCCTTTGTGGGTTCTCCTTCCTCCTTGTCCATTCAACCAGATAACAGCATGAAGGCTGTGAGAAAGCATGTGTGGAGGAGGAGAGAAGTTACACATGGGCATTTGAAGTCATGTTCTGTGGAAAGATTTTCATTTGTGGCCATTTCACCTTCTAAATGTTAGCAAGGTGGGGGTTGGGAGCACCAGCAACTCAGAGGGGACACTGAGAAAGTGAGGACAGTCAAATGTCAGGAAGTGGGGGCTGAAAGCAATGCAATGATAGGAAAGTGACAGTGGTCCTCGCTGTTGTGCTCCTGTTTTTAGGAGGTTCACAATACCAGAGCCCTCTGCAGTTTCAAACTGAGCTTGAGGCAAGAAAAAAGAAAGAACTACAACTGTCTCCCTCTACTGTGTACCCAACCTTGATCACACTCCCTACTCCCCTTGCCTTGACTTTTTGGAAAGAGACAGAGCAGGGTGGTAAGCCAAGAAGAGGGCTTGGTGAATGAAAGAAAAGGGCAGAGTGTGGGCGAGCACTCAAAGGCAGGTGAGACCCTCAGGCTGGTTTGTACATGCTCAGAAGTGGGGAAGCCACATTTCCACTAAAATGGAAAATGAGAACACTGGCCCCTTTCCTACCCTGCCTCATTGAACCAGGAGCCTTGCCTTTTTCTATTGGTCTCAATACCAGTGAGTTCACAAACCTAAGACCACCTGAATAAAATAGTGATTGAGTTCTCCACTAGAGCTTTCAACCACAAAACTGTCAGCCACCACCAATACAATTCTATCATTGACAGGTCAACTGAATTTTACCTAGTCTAGCTTAGCAAAACATGCCTGAAAAGGTGTACTGTGACTTTTTAAAAATCAATTACTGATTGTCAATTAGGTTGGAACATGTCTCCAGCAACGTCCTTCATAAGAACATGCTGAATAATCAAGATACATGTTCCAATCAGAGCTATTTTCTGGTGTTTGTGACTGTTGCCTCTCCTGTCTCTTTTCTAGCTGGAAGGTAAAGCAACTATAACCAAAGCTGTAGGAATACTTCAGCTACCAAAAACAGGAGAAGATGTCAAACCCCACACCAAGTGTCACGTGGCAGGATGGGGAAGCACCAAAAGAGACTCGTGTAAAATTTCAAATACCTTGAGAGAAGTCAATGTCACTGTGATAGAGCGAAAAATCTGCAATGATGCAGAGCACTATAATTTTAATCCAGTTATTGACCAAAGCATGATCTGTGCTGGTGGTCGAAAAGGCGAAGGTGATTCGTGTGAGGTAAGTAAATTACAAATTTAAACCATTTATTGGCTATAGGAACTAAGGTGAAATAGAGTGCCTAGGAAACACAGGTGGACAACTGTTATTGCTCTTTATGTACAAGGACTACTGCTTGACGCTGGTGTTGTGTGTGCACCTTTGTCCCATGTTAAACCTTCTGCTCAGGGAGTGTTCCCCCCTTCCTACTGGTCGTTTTCAGGACACCATTTAAGCACCATTTATGGATGCTCTCCAACCCTCTCAAAAATGATCCTGACAGCTGGCATTTACCGAGTGCCAGGAACTATACCAAGTTCTATACTTCATGCCACTTAATCCTCAAATAACCCCATGAGACAGGCGCTGTTATTATCAATTCTATTTTATAGATGAAGAAATTAAGGTACAGAAAGCTACTTAACTTCCCAAGTTGGCTATCAGTGGGGTGGACCTGGATTTGGACTGAGGCCATCTGACTCTCACCTCCTGCATTGTTCTGCCTCTCGATGTGCCAAGAACAGGCTTGACCAGGGACTGACTCTGTTTGGAACTCATGATCTACAGGTGGCTTGTGAGGTCAGAGAGAATAAGAAATTGGCTAATGAATCCTGGAAAAAAAATCTCTAAAAATTGTTTGAAATTCCACAAGTAATTCATGGTCTGAGATGGCTTAGTTAGTGTCCTCCTTCAGAGCAGGGAGGAGTTGAGATCCCATCTCAAGCCTTCTAGAAGCCCCAACATTCAGTTTCTTCCCCCAACATCTACTGACCAAGAAAAGAGGATACAAGCAGAGTGAAGAAGACGATTATTTTCACTGTGAAAGGCTTCCTTTGTTATTCTTTCTTTGTTTTACTGATAAAAATGAGTTTGCACATCTTTTCCAGAATTGCCTTTTTCAAAAGATAAATGATTTGAAAAGATAAAAAAATCTGTGTTAATTGATGCTGAGGGCAGACAATTAATAAAAGACATATTAAATTAGACTTTAAGGAAAGAGAGAAAGAATGTGTGAGTGAGTGAATAAATTAATGAATAAAAAGATGAATAATATCTCTGGAAAGTACTCATATTTCAAACATATGACTTTCCGTTCCAGGGGGATTCTGGAAGTCCTCTGATATGTGATAACATTTTCAGAGGTGTCACTTCCTTTGGGAAGTGTGGTAACCCCCAGAAGCCCGGTGTCTATATTCTCCTCACAAAAAAATATCTCAACTGGATAAAGAAAACCATCGCACGAGCCATATGACATTCCTTCTTCAAAGTAGAGAACTGAGGTAACCAACTGGAGATGTCAAGCAATCCTAGATAGCACCTCAACAACCCTCATAACCTTGTGTACAAATGACGGCCTGTCTTAAAGAAAATCAGCAGTGGAAGAAACAACTTCCTGCTGTCACACTTCCACGATTAGCTAAGACTGCTTCATTACACGTTCTCTATCCACGTCAAGAGAGGTCCTTTGAGAAAAAGTTTCCCAGTTCAGTAACTCTGCTTTACTCAGAATTTGAGGACTGTCACTTTTGTGTTTGTCCATAAAAGAAAGTCGATCTCAGAAAAAGTTAGAATATTCTTCATTCTTCCAAATAAAGCTCCAAAATATCTGTCGCCCTTGGAATTTAGAGCCTGACATTCTATTCAGTGTGGGAGTAAGGAGAGAGATGAAAGGGGATTTTCACTTCTTACTATATACTTCTATATATTTTCATATTTTACATAATTTTTAATTATAAAGATAATCAGAAAGATTCAGTGTTTTAGATATTTGGAAATTTGGGGACTTGAGGTTAGGGATAGCTCAGGGCATTGTATCATTTATTAATTACAAGTAGACTAAAGTTTCATATAACCATAGGCCTCAGTCCAGCCAGTATCTAGATATGTGTTTTGCCTTAGCTAATCAATTTATACCTGCAAGCACTAAGCTTAATTCTATGTTATTCTTAATAAATTGTGATACACAATAAAGAAAATGGCTGTTTTTTACCACCTACCATTTATATCTCATCTTTCATTGTGCTGTTTCTCCAAAGAGCTGATTTATAATAAACTCATTCTTTAATAATCCTGACTGATTTATCCTATTTAATTCCTAAAACATGTCTGGAGGGCCCACCATGTGCCAGCTATTATATCCAACACTGTAAATACTAAGACATGATCACTGCCTTCAAAGTGCTTGAAGTCTAATAGAAGACAAGGAGAATCTGCAAACAAGAGGATATTTACTTCAGGTTTTAAAGAAAAGGCTGTCTACTGTGTTAAGTGGGTGATGAGGGGAAAGATAAATAATATTTCACACTCCCAGCAGCCATCACTATTAGCTCTAACAGTCTTCCTCCTGAGATCTGCCCTATATTTAGACAGACCTATACAAATTCTGGATTCCTGACTGGAATGCCACAGAAATTACAACAGCCTGGTGGAAGGATTGCTGGTCTACAAGTCAGACACCAGCTCCATCATTAGAAAGTGTAAGACCTTGAGCCAGAAATTAGTCTATGCCTCCCTTGTCACGTCTATAAACTAGGTTTCACATCTGTAACATAAAAGGGTCTAAATGGAGGTGCCCCCATAATTTGAAGTTAAGAATTGTCCCTCCTCCTAGTTCATACCTCCTAGGATGGCCATCATCAAAAAACAGACAACAACAAGTGTAGACAAGGATGTGGAGAAACTGGAATCCTCATACAGTGCTGAGGGGAACATGAAATGGTATAGACACTGTGGAAAACGGTTTGGCAGTTCCTCAAAAGTTTAGACATAGTGTTACTATATGACCCAGCCATTCCACTCCAAGGTACGTACCCAAGAGAAATAAAAAAATATGTCCACACAAAAACTTATACATGAATGTTTATAGCAGCATTACTCATGATAGCCAAAAAATAGAAACAACCCAAATATCCATCAATTGATGAATAGATAAACAAAATGTGATATGTCCATACAATGGAATATTATTCAGCCATAAAAAGAAATGAAGTACTAATATATGCTATCATGGATAGCCTGTATGAACATGGCTGAACACGGATGAACTTGAAAACACTATGCTAAGGGAAAGAAGCCAGAGAGAAAGGCCACATATTGTATGATTCCATTTATAGGAAATGTCCAGAATAGGCAAATCCATAGACAGAAAGCAAATGAGTGGTTGCCAAGAGGTAGAAGGAGAAGGGAAATGGGGCATGGCTGCTATTGGATATGGGGTTTCTCTTTTCGAGTGATGAAAATCTTCAGGAATTAGTGGTTATGGGTGCACAACCTTGTGAATAGACTAAAAACAACTGAATTTTACACTTTAAAATGGTGAATTTTATGGTATGTGAATTATATCTCAATTTTTAAAAAAGAGTTGTCTGTCTTCTGAGACTGAAGCTAGAAGCAGCAACTTTAAATGGGTGCACAGCCCTGACCAGAGCACCTTGCCCAAGGGGAGGAGTTGTGAAGGTGCCACCAAATAGACTTGAGAAGGAGCAGCTCATGAAGCGTCTCCAAAGGGCATCCTCGGAGACCGGGAAATAACTGAAGAAAGCTATTATTTAATCTAATCCTCTGTTGTCACCAATACGACTAAGGAAAGGGGACTTTACAGGAGGGACAGACCAGTTTCTGGAGAAGGATGGATAATGATGAATCATTTGTCAGCGTTTATTACGGCAAAGATTGTGCTGATTCTGGAGGCCTGATGTCAGTTCCTTTGATAGAGACATCAATAGATCAGAAAGGGGAAAGTCTTACAGGAAGGAACTATGACTTCAGATTCAGGGAGTGAAGCGAGTTATACATTCCTGTCTAACCAAGCAATCTTCTACCTGTAAGCTGATGTGCCTTGAGAGGAGAGAGGATGTGCCCTGAGCAAATAAAAAATGCCATTTGTTCTGTCAGATAATAGTGTCAGAAATCTGCTTCTCTTGTGGTAAGTCTGCTTTCTGTTTTAGTCATCAGTGTCCTCCAAGTGTGGGTGCATGCGTTAGGCCTCCAGAGCTTCAACAAAGAGCACGCTGCCACATCGAGTTTCAGGAGTCCCTGTCACCTGCTCAAGAACATCAGCTCCAGCGATTCTGCATCCCTCCCCACCCCCTCCCCATGGGTGTATAAACATGCTTCATCCTTTCCATCTTAAAAAGAAAAAAGAAAACAAGACTCCTTCTCCAGGCATTTCCCCATTTGTCTACTTTGCTTTACATCAAAACACCTCAGATGAGATGTCTATACTTCAGTCTCTCTCCTTCCATTCTCTCTTAAACTAAAATATGGCTTTTGCCCCACCCTACAGAAGTGGCTGTTGTCAATAGCTTCACCTCGTGAAACCCAATGGTCATCTTTGAGTCCCCCTTCACTTGCCTTCTCAGCAGTATTTGACACCATTGAGCTCTCCTTCCTGTCTGAAAGTGTGATTTACATCACACTTCACGTAGTTTCCAGCACACCACACTCTGCTGCACTCCCCCTACTTCACAGGTCCCTCCTCCTTGGTCCCTACTGCCGGTCACTCCTCTTCTTCACTTCTTCATGCTGGGGTGACCCACAGCTAAATCCTGGGACCTCTTCTCTTCCCCATCCTCACTCACTCCCTTTCCAATGGCATCTAGGCTCTATGACTCTATAGACAACTTGCCATCTACGTGCTGATAATTCCCAAATCTGTCTTTAGCTCAGACATCTCCCTAACTCCAGACTGCTTAGCCAGCCACCTCACTCTACAACTCTACTTGGATGTCTAGTACACGTCTCAAACCCAATCTGTCCACAGCAGACCTCTTATCTTCCCCTCAGAACCTGCTTCAACTCTAGATCTCCCCATTTTATCTCATGGCAACTCTATTCTCTCAGTAGCTCAGATCATAAATTCTGGAGTCTTTTTTGACTACTCTCTTTCTCTTACACTGCACATCCAATCCACAAGGGAATTCTACCTTCCCTGCCTTCTAAATATATCCAGAATCCAGCCACATCTCACCACCTCTGCTGCTACCACCTGGCTCCAGCCCACCATCCTCTCCGGCCTGAATCACTGCAATCACCTCCTAACCTTCCTACCTCCACCCTTGCCCCCGTTCAGCGTGTTCACCACACACAGCCAAAGTGATCCTGCTCAAATAGGTCAGATCACGTCGCTCTGCTCAAAGCCCTGCCATGCCTCCTTATTCCACTGAGGCTAAAGGGCTAAGTCCATACGGTGCCCCACAAGGCCCTCACAATTTTGTCTCCCAGTGTTTAGCTGACTTAATTTCCTTCTGTGCTTCCCTCGCTCACTTCTCTCCAACCACACTGGCCTTCCTGCTCTTCCTCAAACTCAGCAGGCACAGAACCCACATAGGGCTTTTGCACTGGCTTTTCTCTCTTCCTGGAAAGTCCGAAAAGTGAAATGGTAATAACGGCCCCTCCCAGGATTCTGAGGCCATGCAGGTGAGAGGGCCTTAGAAGGGACCTAATAAATGTCAGTTTTCCTTCTCCTTCCCTCTTTAAGTCTAAATTCCCTCTTCTATGAAACATGTAGAAATAGACATTTCTGTGTATCTAACTAGACAATTCCACATACTGAATGCCCGTAACATACAAGGCCCTCAGCCCTAAGCAATTTCCCCTCTAAGAACACTAAGACAACTTGTACAAAAGCAAACTCCACTTCCTCTAAGCAGAAACCCGGCTACAGAAGCAATTCATCTGCAGCCCTAATTGGAAGAATAAGAACAACAACGGGCCAGGCCAGAGGTTCTGACTCTCAGTCTGCCTCTAACTTGCCACAGGACTTTGAAGAAACCGTTCAAGCTCTCTGGGACCCGGTTTCCTCAAGCTGTCAATCAGCAGAGTGGACAAGAGCATCCTCCAGTTCTAGAAGTGTGTAAATAAAATATCCTGTAACAGAGGACTTTTCACAGACGTTTGGAACAAATCTGCACTTCTTACCACAGTGTACGAGGCCCTGCACGAGCTGGCTTCTCTCTGCCTCGCCCACTCCACTCCAGCCTTACAGACATTCTTGCCTCAGCTTGTCACACACACACACACCTGGCTCCACCTGTCCTCACACACATACTCACACTTACACACCATTCCCACCCCTACCAGGCACTCACACTGGCACACACTGTCACGTGCACACACTCATATATACTCACGCACACACACTCACTCACCAACAAACTAGGCTTTCTCAGTTTGGCTCCTTTTCTTTCTGCAGGTCTCAGCTTAAACATCAGCTGCTCAGAAAAACGTTTTCTATTACCCTCTCTAAAATAGACCCTCCCCTAATATTCCCCATTTTAGCACCCAATTTTCTTCCTTTATGATACTAACAACAATTTAAAATCATTTCATACGTTTATAAATGTCTTCCTTTGTAGATCCTATGCTCCATAATGACAACGATTAAATCTGTTTTATTCACCTTTGCTTCTTATCTCCAACATTTAGCATTGTGTCTGGACCTAATACACATTCAATAAATATTTGTGTAATTAATTAATTAATACAATTCCATGCATTTTCCCATAGTGGAGTCACTCCTCTACTTCCACAAAAAAAGCACAGCAAATTCAAAAACAAATGCATATAACAGCATGCGTTGCTCTTTTGGAAAATATCAATTCACTGATTTATGTAGATTTCCCAAATGTTGACACACTTCATTACATAGCATTTTTTACATCACTACCATCTCATCAGGAAAGGTCCTTAAGTGCTGGGAAGATGTCAAGCCTGTGATAGCAGACACAAGTGTTCCAAACATACTAATTTCCATTTGAAAGCTCTAATTTTATTATTAGCAACAAACATTGTCAGTCATTTTCTTTAAAGTGACAGGTTCACTTCATTCATATTTGAAAAAATGCCTACCAAATATCCGAGTCAGAATAATCATATTTTGTCTGTCAGCATTCTTTCAAACAGTTGCACTAGTGCTTTT